AAAACGGGGGCGGGGCCCGACCGCCGAGCTGGATGGCAGCATGCATGCTGAGCTCCTGCAAGCCATCAAACTCTAGGCTTTGAAACTATGATTTCCAGCACCAGAACCAACCACCAGCGGCGGTCCACAGAGCTAAAGGGACACTGGATCCAGGGTGAGGCTGGCTTATCGAGCTGCAGTCCCCTGGAGGAGAGGGCACCGATGCCACAATCGAGGCCTACTCCGGCGGTGAGAGGGGCAGACGGCCGCTGCCCCACTATCCTGCCTAACAGAACCCAGCCATGGGCCCAAACGAGTGTGGACAAGGCCCTGTCCCCCCCCTCTAGACCGGTGGGGGTGATCCCGGTCCTCACCCCAAGGCCCTGACGAAGACATGGCGGCTGAAGCTAGGGGGCCTAACAGCCATGCCCAAGATGGCAGACGCCATGTGCACAGGAGACATGGGGAGAAACAGCTCACTCCCCACTCTCACAGCCGACACTGCAACCCTTGCTTCTAGACCATGCCATACAGGGAAGCAGGATTACCTTTACCCACTAACACAGCCACTCAAGTCAGCGATGTCAGCGGCTGCCCTGGGGGGATGGGGGTACACAACAGACCGGCCGTTGCTGTATGGAGGGACCGAGTCTACCACCAAGCGTGTCACCTCAGCGGCGAGACAGACCTCCTACTTGCCTCCCACTCAGCCTGCAACAGCACGAACCCTGCAGCGGCAGCTATGTGTGGATGACGCCGGACCCCCCATCGCGGCTGACAACGGCCCCCAGGGGACCAAGCAGGACAAGCACTCCGTACCACGGCTGCAACCCCAGGGAAGCCGGCGAATGGCTCAGAGAGCGGCAGGGCTGGACTGTGTTTTGCTGCCTGCTCTGGTGGACACTCACCCACTGCTGCATGAAACGGACAGAGCAGGTATCAGATAGCAGCGGAACTACCCCTGTATTTGAGGTCTCAGCAACACCACAACGACGGCTCTTCACTGAGTCAGCACTGGTAGTTCCTAACGGCCGGGGTGAAAACGGCATTAAAGCGACATCACAAGACCTAGCCTGAATACCAATTATAACCAAACTACACTAGCCTGTTTGTAAAGCTACTGCTATAAATATATGAATCAAGCAACCTTTCATATCTAGCAAGTACTTTGTGCATAAACTTAATCTTGGTAAAGCGAATAGATATGTATGCTTAGCTTAATCAGTTATGCAAATCATCACTATATCATTTTCTTGTCTTCCTCATATCTCAAACTTGTTTAAAAAAAAAAAAAAAAAAGTGCAGCATCTCTTGACTACCCATAAGAACTGTTTATGATGATCTCATGTGTTGAACAAGTCAGTGTTTATGCATGTAATTTACTCTGCACTCAAAAATAAAGAATTAAAAAAAAAAAAAAAAAGAATGGAAAAAACTAGAAGTATCTTGGGGAGGTAGAATAAATGTTTTGAAATCATACATTTTGCCAAAGTGGATATACTTGTTTAGGATGTTGCCTTTGGAAATTCCAAAGCCGTGGCTGTCAATGATAAATACGGCTTTTCAAACTTTGTTTGGCAAAAAAAAAAAAAAACAGAATTAAAAATACAACATTATCAAGAGGAATAAAAAATGGAGGATTATGGTATCCAAACATTACCAAATTCTATGAATCAGGAATAATTATGCATATTATGGCTAGTTTGTTAGAACAAAATAAAGAAGAATTTTGGTTGGAATTCGAGTTAGAAGCAACAAAAGTAAAATACTCCTTAGAGTTTATTTTGAATAAAAACATTTTTCAGTTTACGGGATCCTATATTCTTGGACAGATTATTCCTATTTGGCAAAAAATCAAGAAAAAAAATAGATATGGATGATATAATTTTTGATTTTCAAAGTTTGAAAGTACTAGAAATCAGTATCGAAAATTTAACAGTGAAATCTTGGAAAAACCATCAGATTATTACATTTAGAGATTTGTTTAAAGATAGCAAAATAAAATCATTCAAAATGTTGGTAAATGAGTTCCATCTTCCCGACAATTAATTATTTTATTATATCAGAGTTAAGCATTTTTTAGAGAAGGTGACCTTAGTTACTGAAGGAACCCTGTACGACATTTTAAAGACTATCTTAGAGCAGAGTAAAATAAATCGGCTGTTCTCTAGATGTGTTAGAATTTTAGAGGGTGCTTATGATCTGGCAATACCCACTGCTATTAAAAAATGGAATAGTCGGAGGGGGCGTGGCTAGCTGAGCAGCTAACAAGACGTGCAAGTGTGGAGCTCCGGCTAAACACACCGTTTAATACGACGAACTGCCACAAAATCCTAACAACCAGAACAGATATCCAGACTAATAGTGATCTAAATGCCCCCAACCTCGAGATGGGGCGAAAAAACAAGAAACAAACCTGCCTGGAGGGCTCAAACACGCCAGACATCAGGCGGTCCTTCAGTAGGCCGCAAAGACTAACACAGACCAAGATGGCGCAGGAAAGTGACCAAAGCTCTAGTGAATCGGAGGCATCGCCCCACGAGCGGGGCCCCCCGACCACACAGAAAGCTAATGCAGGTTATCGGACAGGAGAATCCGACTCCGACGACTCGCCCTCTACCAAGGGGGATATCAAAAAGCTGCTACTCGACCTACGGAAGGTATGGAAGTCGGATTTGGACGAGATACGGTCTGAAATAACCGGAGTCACAGCACGACTGGGTGCAGTGGAGAATAGGGAAGGGAACAGAGACATTCTCATTGCCGAGACCCAAACCCAAATGACCTCCCTGACCCAACAAATCCTGAGACTTACCCGCACAGTGACCGCGATAGAGGCCAGACATCGCAAGAGAAATGTCCGCATCCGCGGCGCACCTGAAACTATAGGCCCAGAAGCCTTACTGGAGTTTACTAATAAACTAGCGACCATGATGGGAGCAAAGAAAAATGGTGAACTGCGGCCCATCACAGCGGCATTCAGGATTCGGAAGGCCGCGGCCGCCCCTGCGGACGCACCCAGGGACATTATTGCAATCACACGAGACATTACGGTAAAAGTGGCGATTATGGCTGCCTCCAGAAAGACACCCACCGCCATAGTGGACAACCTCCACATCAAGGTATTCGACGACTTACCGTTTGCGACTCTGCTAGAGAGGAGAAGGTTCATGCCGATCACCCGACAATTGAGAGAACATGGCATCAGATACAGATGGGGTGCATCTGGCACGCTGGTGGTGCCATACAAAGACAGAGTACTTTCATTATCAGCAGAGGAAGACCCTAAGAACTTCCTACAGGAACTCCAACTCCCCCAGCCAGCACCCCTGGAACAGGGGAGAAGCAAGACCCCCAGCGCCGCAGGCGACAACGCTACCAGGGAGAAAGGCCCTGAGAGGTCAGAGACACAAAGAAGACCAGGCCTGCAGAACCCCCCATAGAACTGTCAGACTACGAGAGGACTGATCACAGGCCTACCTACCTGGATGGGAGAACTAAACCCCTCACAGCCCCTCAGGCATCTAGCATTTAATTTAAAGTTGTTTTAATTTAAAGCTGTTTTAATTACTGTTGTTTTTAACAGTTATAGATGGCCCCATAGTGCCTGGCACCTTGGGTTCAAAACACCTCGACACACACGACCCCCAACAGAGACATGCGTGACGATGGGGAAATACAGGCACTTAGAGAGAGGGGGTAGGAGACAGACACTATACACACACGGGGGGGTGGGTGGAAGGAGAGGGCAAACATCATGCCACCACAGTGCACCACACAGCAAGTCTAGTTACGCGACACCTTAGCAGGGAAAAGTGCTTCCCAGACGACCGTATAGCTGAAGTGGAACGTAAACCAAAGGAAGCAAAGAAGACTTATAACATGGACAGACGCGATATACTTATAGACTATCAGGCGCACACCAGCAATAATCATCTATGTGACAAATCTCTAACCAACCCCTAGCAACGACGAAATACAAGATACCAAACACTGCAAGCTTCTGGCAGCCAAGGCATGCCTAAAGGGAAGCCGGACAGGTCTCCTACTCTCAGTCAGACATAGGCCGACCCCCGCACCGACCATATCACACTCACACGCAAGACACTATTATCACTAATTTCATGTTTTCATATGTTTAACTTATCACACTAACGTCTAGACTTACTATTTTTGAAAAATGTTACAAACTATCTACCAAAGTCAAATGTTAATGATACCTAGCTATTCACTCACTACTAATCGCTACCGATACCATAGTACGATTTATATCGACCAGTTAACCTGTAAAACTGTGCAGCTTACAAATATGTCATGACATTGTATACCATGAATAGCCAGCAGTTGCTGTTGTGGCACTGCGGGCACGACTGTTTACTTTATTGCACTATCAAAATAAAGAATTAAAAAAAAAAAAAAAAAATGGAATAGTCACTTAAATAAAAGTATAGATATAAAGGAATGGTCATCTTCCTTTTATAAAATCAATAAATATGTTCATTCCATTGTCTTATTAAAAACTCAATTTAAATTAATAAATTTTTGGTATATAACTCCAGTGAAAATAACTAAATTTGCAACGGATCTTGATGCTCAATGCTGGAATTGTAGACAACATAAAGGAAATTATACATACAAAAACAAGATGGAGCTTCTTAAAATGGCAATGAAACAGATATTCTGGAAAATAAAATATAAACAATAGCGCAATACAGTAGTACAAAGGAAATTGGAAATGTATATACAGTAGATTTTTCACTCACAAGCCTGGAGTCATAATCTCATATGACTCGGATGGTGTATGCCTTTGGACCATTTCAGGATGCCCAAATCCTTCTTTCAAGCAGGATTCCGTTTATCTTCCCCTTTAACCAACTCACAGACAAAAGTGCCAGGTCAGTGGTAAATTTCCAAAAGGGTGATGCTTTATTCAAAATAAAAACTTATAATAAAAAATGTTAAAATAAATTCAAATATAACAATTTGTGGTTTAAATAGGGCTATATAGTCCTTAAAAATCGCCAAAACGCGTTTCGCCTGGTAAAACAGGCTTCCTCAGTCGGCTTTTTTTCACTGTTCAGTCTTTTTCCAATTTTTAAAAGTCCGTTTGTTTTTACTTCCGGGTTCCGGTTTCTGTCCATTTGGAACGCAATTATGCGTTCCAACGATGTCATTTCCTGTTGTGTCACTTCCAGATTTCTGTTTCAGTTCGCTGGAACGCATCGTGCGTTCCAGCGATGTCACTTCCTATTACGTCACTTCCGGATCTCGATCGGCTGGAACGCACAATGCGTTCCAGTGGCATTGTACTTCGGCATCTCTGCCATTTCAATTAGTCCACATAATATCCAGTTATGGAGGTCTGTTTTACCTATATATGCACATATATTAATAAACTCTACATGTGTATTAGCAATATTAAACCATGGAAGTCTGTTTTTACACATTTATATATATGTATCAATAAACTTCACATATATAATAAGAGTTCTTTGCCTATCTAATATATCAAACTTCTTTAACATGAGCATGATATAAACATTTTAAAATGCTTCTGCAATATAGAAATGATAATAATATGGACATTTCTCCTTATAATATCTTCTCAATATAAAGATAGTGTAGATATCCCAAAGGTGATCTGGCAATATAAATATTTTTCCTTAAAGTGCTCTTGTGTATTTTCATTAAAGTGCTCTTATATATTTTCCTTTAAAGTTCTCTTGTAGTGCTTCCAGAGTCTCCATAATCATATTCAGAAACATATCATTTCAAAAACTCAGAAAAAAAAAAAAAAAAAACGAATTGTTTTAAAAGGTATCCATATTAAAAATATCCATAAAATGTAAAAATTATCTACTAAAAAATATATTTCCATAATAAATAGTAGGGGAGTTCAGTTCATGAAATGACATAGTTCGAAATCTTGGTTTAAACCATGAGGTGCCATAGTGTTAAAACCGAAAATAAATCTCATTTCCTCTATTCCTATTTTTCTAATGTAATCTCCTCCTCTCCAATCTTTCTTAACCAATTTTATTGCACAAAAAAACATTCCTTCGGGGTCTTGATTATGGAATGTCTTAAAATGGTTGGAGACACTGTGTGACTCCAATCCATTTTTTATGTTCCTTGTGTGTTCTGCTATTCTCGTATTCAGACATCTAATGGTTCTCCCTACATATAGGAGGTTACACTGACACTTCAGAACATAAATAACCCCTTTAGAGTGGCAAGTTAAATGGTCTCGAATTTGAAATTTTTGATTTATCCAAGGCTTCATATCCGTTATGTGGCGCTTCCTGCTTTTAGTGTTTCTGCACGCTAGGCACTGACCGCAACCATAAAAACCTTTATTCTGCCTTAAAAAATTCTTATCAACCAAAATTTGTCTATCACTACTTTGTACTAAAGTGCTCTTGAGATTTTTTGCTCCCCTATATATGATCTTAGGTCTTTCTGGCAAAATGTTTTTTAGGACCGGATCATCTTGCAAAATATGCCAGTATTTATTTATGATTTTATTGACTTTTTTGTGATTCCCATTAAAATTACAAATGAACGGAACATCTCTATTCCATTTTTGTTTCCCCTTTTTATCTTTGTATATTAAAAGGTTCTTCCTAGGTATTATACGGACATCTTCTAGAGCAGTTTGCAAATCTGTTTCTGCATATCCTTTTTGCAAAAATTGGGTCTTTATTCTCCCTGCCTGTGACAAATAGTCTTCATCATTAGTGCAATTTCGCCTGATTCTCAAAAATTGTCCTCTAGGTGCATTTAATAGCCAGAGTGTGTGGTGACAGCTCTCTTTTTGAATATATCCATTTGCATCCACTTCCTTAAAATGATTCTTTGTGGTAATGCAAGTATTGACGATGTTGATATCAAGATCTAAGAAGTTGATACTTTCTTCACTTATTTGTGCCGTTAATACAATGTTCCATTCATTGTTGTTTAAAAAAGTAATAAAAACATCCAGTTCTATCCTAGTTCCCGTCCAGATAAAAAATATATCGTCGATGAAACGACGATAGCACACCAAGTCCGTCACCCAGGTATGTCCTCTATATACAAACTTCTCTTCCCAATACGCCATGAATAAGTTTGCATAACTGGGAGCGAACTTGGTGCCCATCGCCGTTCCTCGAATTTGTAGATAAAAGACGTCTTGAAACCAGAAAAAATTGTTTGTTAAAATCAAATGGATACCTTCTAAAATATATTGGGTCTGTTCTTCTTTAAAATTATGTTTTCTTAAAAAATATTGCACAGCTTCCAATCCAATCTTGTGAGGTATGATACTATAGAGGGAGGTTACGTCACACGTAACCAAAAAACTACCTTCTTTCCAAGTAATCTCTTCTAAAAGCTTCAAAATATGTATAGTGTCCTTTAAATAGGCGGGGTTACATACAACCAGAGGTTGCAACAATTTATCTAAGTATTCCGATACCTTTGCTGAAACGGAATCAATTCCGGATATTATCGGTCTGCCGGGTGGATTTTTCCTATCTTTATGTACCTTTGGTAGATGATAATAAACCGGAGTTTTAGGGTGTGGAGTAGACAAGTATTTAGCTTCATCTATTGTTAATATTTCCTTTTCTAGACCTTTCTTAATATATTCGTCAAATTTCTTTTTTATTTCATTAATTGGATTTCTGTCCAATTTTTGATATGTAAGAGGGTCAGATAAAATTCGTTCCGCTTCTTGTACATAATTAAGGACAGGAATTACCACATACCTCCAATCAAGAACCCACATCTTCTTTTTTTCGGAAAGACCCAGTCAAGGAGAGGTTGAAACAAACACAGCAGATCAATGTATGGGAATCCCCAGGCAAACGCAGAAGATCAGTAACACAAGAAAGAGAAACCGAGGAAGAAAAAGAAATGAGATACAGGGAGAAGAGAGGCAAGAGATAAACACAGAGGGCATTTTTAATTTAACAGGCCAAGAATTATCCAAAGAGGCAATGGAAGTTCTGCAGAAAGGCCTAAAATTCGCCCCCACCGCAGATTTGAAATAAA